ACACTCTTGACAAAGCCCAGTTTTCTGTGCACCAAAAACGCTCTTTATATTTTGAAAACCCGACCTGAGTGCTGTGGCGTACTGTATGTTTCTGCTGCAGTTTTCTCTTTTCCTCAGTGCTGGCTGTTGTACCCGTCACTGTGTCTCAGGCGGCATGACTCAATTAATATATCACGCAAGCCAAAGAGAGCTGAGCGAGTTGGTGAGGAGAGGAGGAAGGCATGAATAGACACTTGCACTTTTTAATGAAACGCCTCGATGTTAAACAAAGAAAAAGGCCACAGACATCCTTATATAACCTTCACCTCTTAAACACTCAATTTGAAGACTTCATGCAGCCTGACAACCTCCAAAAACACAGATGTGCACAAAAGATTCTTTCAGCATTGCTGTTGTGTGCCAGCTTTTACCGGCTCTCCTTTCAAAAGAGTGTTTCCAAGAACTTAAAAGTTTGCTGAGTGAAAATGTTTGAATTTCAGGCAACCATCGAGAAAGGCTTCGCTCCTTTATGGTGGCTGCTTGTGTGCTTTCTTGTGGTGACTGATCAAGCTTTTCAAATGGTTTTAACTTTTTCAGAAAGGCTTTTATTTGCTACTTTCCAAAACTTTCTTCTGTATTTCCTATACCAACATTATTTCTTTATCTGACTTATAAAGCATGCACCCTCAAAGCCCCTGTGAGTCGTTTTTAGCTTCTATGAAACAGAAATGAATGCTGATGTCTCTATGTGACCTACAAAAGCAAACTGGACCATCAGCAAGAAGATTGATTACCTCATTTAGTTATTCTAAATGCCGGTAACCATTGCTGCGGGGTACGTGTCAGACGAGGCGATTAACATTACACTTCCAAAGCTGCCTTTTCTACAGCAAGGATCCCCTGTTAGTGTTATAGTTGATTTTTGAAAAAACATCAAGTCAAAAAAGAGTAGAGGACAAGATAAGCAAATAAATAATATCACTATGGCCACAGGGGGCGCAAAATTGATACAAACCAAAAGTTATTTTAAGGAGCTTTAATCTTTTCCGATATTGCGTCAGTACATCCTCTCTTCTAATCATCGAACATGGCAGGATGCTCAATGGAACCATTCATCAAAACATGACTCTGTATCTTTGTTGTATCATTTATGGACAATGTTGTCCAGTTTATTCTTTTGATATTTTGAAGTCATGTCATGTAGTATAAGATGGGCAAAGAGGGTCAAACAATCACAAGATTTACATCCAGGAAATCAGGTTTTGGATGAAACTAAAAGAATGTTGAATTCTTTCTTTGAGGAGTTCCTGCACATTAGTCTTAAATGTACAAATTTGAAGTGTCATTTGCAGCACATTTTTCCCCATTGACTGTATGAGCACAAACGTAGTCGAAGTAATGTCACCTATTGGAAACACTTTTGAAGCCAGTCGATGGTGGTCGCCATATTGAAAATGCTGTCTCAACCTTGCTTTCTGTCAAGCTAACATCAGGAAAAGAGCTGGAACTGAGGCAGCCTTGAAGCCTCCTAAGAAAAAAATCAGTCATAAAAAAGTAAAGTGTGAGCCGATAAAGACTTGAGCTACTCAAACATAATTCATTTTTTGAACCAGATACAAGGTTTTAACCAGGCTGTAAACATGTTGATTTTTGCTTTAAAATGGGCTTTCTACAGTTCCTCAAGTGGACACTTGAGGAACTGTAGTTTTTTGCACGACCCCATTGGCCTGAGCAAAACTACATGGTTCTGCTATCAACAAAATCTAACTAAAACCATTCTGCAAGTTAACTAAACGTTATCCATTGTTTTTACTGTTGCTTACTTAACTTCATTGATTTCATTGCATATGTTTATTTGTTCATTTTGAACGGGGAGCCAAACTTGATAGGTTATCCAGGCTGTATTACTGGATCTGTCGTCAGGCTGCGACTGTGTTTCATATTATGTGATGAAAATCTGCTTTGTCCTGTGTGTACTAAATAAGTCTGAGGCATAACTGACAAAAAAAAGTGCACTGGCTCACACACCCACATTGTCCCTGTAATGATGTGCAATTATTTATGAAACAACCTTTGAAATTGGTGTTTAGTAGCTAATGTGTCACGGCTTATTAGTCAGAGCCGTCAGTGGCCGAGAGGGGAGAGGTTTTGTTTCTCCATCACGTGTTCTTTCTCTCACTTCTTCCCCTCTCCTCCTCCTCTTGGTGACCCTTCTTCTTTTCTTGCTTTGTTGAACTTTTAGTTTTTGTCTCTCTGTATGTCTCTCTCCTCCTCTCTACCCCTAAAGACCCATTAGTCTGTCTAACTACGCTGTGATTACAGGACTTATGTATTCAGCGTGTGATCACAGTGCCAACTTTGTCCTCTGAGTGTCTCTTTGACTGACTGACTGCTCACTAAGGCACGCTGATCCCTCTGTGTATTATTCAGTTATTTGCACTGCATGTGCTCCGTCCCCCTCCTCCTCCCTTTCCTTCTTCTGTCTCTCATGCCAACATTTTTTTGTCTTTCTCTCTTTCATATTGGCTCTCGTTCTTGCCCGCTCTTCACCCTCTTCTGCTGATTATTTCCCCTCGTCGTCTCAGCCCTTCTTCTGTGTCTCTCTCCCGCCACCCTTGGCCTCTTCCCCGCTCTAATCTTCTCCAGAATGCCACTATGTTATCAGCTAACTACAGAACCACGCTTTAGGCACCCAGCAGTGTTAACCCCCCCCCCAAAAAAACAAAACAAAACAAAAAACAATCAAGTAAAGTGTTCAGTAAAGGATCCTTCCTGGTCTAGCAAGGCGTCCCTGCTGCACTCCAAGCCAAGGCACAAATGTCCCCTTTAAAGACAAACACAAACAGAGGCTGAATCATTGGTGGCTTTCCAAACTGTGGTCTAACTGAAGAGGGAGTCTATTTTTAATGAACCTCAATTAGCAGAAATGCTACATTGGATTAATATTCTTCCTCTAATCCGATTGGGTAAAGAAGCTGGGGTGAAATGATGGAAAAAAAAAAAGCTTTCTATGTGATTTTCTGCCTGTAAGTTGTATCAAAGTTTAACCAAAGTAATACCAGGTGTGTTATTAACACTCACTGCTCTGTGCAAGCATGACACATAAATACAATCTACCTTCCCTTTCGGTGAATCAGCACATCTCACTGTCACAGTCAGTTACTAGCCTCCTATTCAAAGCTTGACTCACTTAGATTACAAGGTCCAGAGCGTTAGTCAGACTGCGTAGGTTTCTGCCCAGTTGTTCTGGATACAGCCAAATATCTGTCATAGTAGCAGCGGGTATGAGATCAAAGTAAGACTCTTTTTTTTAGGAGAGCTCAGGGGTGAAGAGAAGCGGTTGCTTGTCAAAGGACTCGACTACTCTACTCTACGCGGAGTTAGATTTCATGTACAAGGCTCCTGGAGTGGTTGAAAGTCAGAGCATGAAAACAAAAGTTAAAGCCGTAAAACGCACTCGAGCACAGGAATGAAAGAAGAAGCACACTTCAGGAATGAAGAGTACCAGACTTAGCAAAAGATTGCTCAGTCTTCTTGTCGGGGCCTCGTGTAGCCTTAAGGCTGCAGGTGCAAGGCGTGCTGCAAGAAAGCCTGAAAATGTGTGTTTGCATGTATGGTGAAGGGGGAGGGCTGGGTGTTGGGTGTGTCTTTTTAAGCAGACAAGCTTAAAGCATGGCTAACTTTGATATCAGCAAAATCCTTTCAAATGAGGCTCAATGCAGCTCGCCATATGTCTCCACAGATGTTGATATTATTTAATAGATTAAGATGAATGTGCTGATGATGGCTTTTCCAGAACCCCTGCTGGGACTACTGGGAATCAAACAAAAGCCTTTCTCACTCGGCCTGCTGTAAACCACGGCGCTGAAAGTACTCGGATACATTTACTTTCTGACGGGCAATATAAGAGTATTTTCAATGAGAGGTATATCCTAGTGGAGGATATCGTCCCATCTTTCAATTAAGTAACAATGCTAACACTACTAGTACAGACGTATATTTTCATTTTTTTAAATCTGGTTTTTATTTTGTTTGATTGATTCCTAATTTTGTCACATTTTCTTCATGTTTGTTTATTATTATTTGAAATTGACTTGCGGCCGCATTGAGTGAGGAGGTGGCCCACATGTGGCCCTCGGGCTGCCAGTTGCCCACCCCTGATTTAAACTATAACTTATCATTAAAAAAAAACAGATGAAGGACAGATGTAAAAAAATGTTTTTTTATTTGTATTTTACAGATAAAGTTGTCGCTGTCAGGTGATTTCAGCTTCTTAAAAAAAGTTCACTGTTTCCACTTAAACGTTGTGAAATACAGACATGAGTAGTATAACATAGAAGTGATGTGTTCAAGTTCGTCGTTATCAGCGATGATGGTGGTAGGGTGAAAGTTGTGTTCCATGTCTTCTTCCGCTGTGAAAGACCTTTTCTGAAACGAACAAGTACTTGCACATTAAAATAGGTCAGCTGAAGTGGTCCGTGTTCCCTTTGCTCTGTGTCTTTTTCTTTGAGCAGCTAATACAAAATGAGCAGCATCCGCTGAGCTCTCACTCGCCTCCCACCACTTTTGTTTGTCATGGAGCTGTCCATGGTGCTGAAAACAGACTGAGGCTGGCTCTCGTTCCCTGTCCATGGTCCTGAAACTGAAACGCTCATGACATAGACATTTCAGTACATCGATGAAAGCATAACGATGGGGGATGGGTGTCTCTTTTGTTTCTCAGCTTGTTTAAAAAGCTCCTTCAACAGATGGTATTAATGTACTTATACACCCAAGAGTTTTACAGGCATGTCTGAATGTCGACGGCTGTCCGTTGTGATCCAAATCATGTTGCTCTAACTCTGCGCGAGTTGTCATTTCAAGACCGCTCTGTCGTGACGTGAGAGTTTTTATTATTGTGTTTTGCTGTTATGACCCTGTTGACAGACTTATTTATACTGACAAGATTAAATAAAAGCAAACACTCTATAAAAGTCTGACCTCTTCCCCTGTCCCTGTCTGTCTGTTTGTTTTTCCTACAGTGGTGCTGCTGAATTCTAAAGAGACTCAGGCAGAGCTGGGCTGGACCTCGTATCCCCCCAATGGAGTAAGTGTGCTTAATTTGCATTTTTCATTGTCCTTATGCGTGTCCACTAAGTCGTTCACACGCGAGGCCCAGACCCCTCCTGTTCCCTCTCTACATGATGCTTCTGCATTTCTTTGTCTTGTGCTTATTATTTTCTCGCTCTCTTGCTTTTTTCCATCCCTTGTCAAACCTCTTGCATTCCTCCAAGGGCAGTCCTCTTTATTATCATTTAGAGATGATGCTAATTCAAGCCAGCCACACTGTCACAGCTAAATGCTCCCCATCCTTCCTCTTGATCAATTATTTTTGTAAAAATCCTTAAAAGTTCTGACTGTCAAATGCAGGAGTTCTTTTTTAAGAATCTGATAGCCAATCTGAAAGCCCATTTCCGCCAGTTAAAAAAATAAAAATGAAAATAATAAAGTCACAATTATGAGATAAAAACCGAAAATCGAAATTATGAGACAATAAAGTCATAATGATGAGATAAAAAGTTGAAATAATGAGATAAAAAGTCAAAATTATGAGATAAAAAAGTCATAATAATGAGATAAAAAGTCTCATTATAATAATTCGACTTTAATAAGATAATAATTTTGACTTTATTATTTTCAATTTTATTTTTTTAACTGGCAGAAATGGGCTTCCATAGGTACTACTAAAACAAAAAAGAATCTGATACTACCATGGCTCTTTGTCACCCACTTTCTGACTCGAGGTTAGCCTTCTTTATGTGCTAGTCACTGAGGGTCTCATGCACACATTTATGTATGAAGCATAGTGTACACTCATGCCGTGTTAAGTGAGATTGTGCTACTTTAAAGTCAGTTTGAAGTAGCTTTTGGACCACATGCAAAGCAAATATTAATGTACTTTGTGACTTACTGAGGAGTCCCAATAGGAATGAGGCAGAACACTCTGCATACACTTTGATTTAGTCACCCACGCCGCAGTGCAGTTTATCACATTAACATCACAGATAATCTATGTTTACTGTTTACTGCGCTGTGTGTGTGAGAGAGTGAGAAAATCTGCTTCAGTGCTCAGTTTACTGTCGTCTCTCTTGTCAAGTCAGAGAGTCTCGGTAATTAACGCTGGTGCTGCAATCATTTCTCCATCAGACAAATAAAATGCTTTCCTCAATTTTGCTTTTCACTGCAGTGTTTAAAAAAAAAACATCACAATCTTTGACAACATGCTAAGGGACCGTCTCAAAATGATCGGAGTGGTGAAGGTAATTGTTGAGTCACCTATCATGACAAAGGAAAGCCGTCTCCATATTTATCTTTGGCTCCGCCCTTTGACAAGAGAAACATAGCAGCTCTGTCCCTGAATAACTCCCCAGGTAGAATGAGAGTAGTTGTTTGCCTAAAACTTCCTAATATTAATGACCTAAAGTGTAAATTGGTTTATCCTGAGTCAAATCCTTCATATATATTTTTTAAATGATAATGTATTTCCATTCCTAATTGCTGAACAAAACTTTAATGACCAGAGGCACACAGAAAATCCATGTTTTTGTTGTAAACAATAAATATATGATAGATTTATTGAAAAGCACTGTCCTACTTTATCTTCAAAACACATGGCTTAGCGCGAGGACAAAAAGAGAATCAAGCCTTTCCCCTTTTCTTAACTGGAGAACGTTGCTTCCTGCTCATTTAAGTCATTTTTTATTTTCATGAGATGGACCAATCATTCAAATTAATAAACACAGAACCCCGTTATTTAATCACCATATCCAGAAGTATGTGTTAGTACCAATCTTCATGACTTCATTCATTTTAGTCACTTTGTGGATGTACCATTTAAATCGGTCACTCATCTTAGGGTAATTATTTTAGGTATGTGTAGATTGAACAGAACAAGACTCTCATAGCAGCAGATATATATTTGGATAGGAGCTAAGTGTATGTTGAAACTTATAAGGAATTAAGGTGTATGTATTTATCTGACATTTACTATAGATCATGGTGATGTCATTTAGAGGTATACCGAAATGGAAAGAAATTTGTAGGCTGTACCTACAAACAGAATATAAGCAACACTGTTAAGATGAAAACTTCTGTCGCTGTCGTCTGACCTCGGCCGAATACATTCTAAAATAATCCACCGACTGTTCCTCAATGTCATCATTGAACATCTACAGCAGAAACAACCTCCACCTAACAGCATGTTAACAAAAAAAAGAGGCTTCACAGCTCATCAGCACAGAGAATATCCAGCACTTCCACCATTCACCATCAATATTACAAAATGCCAAAGCGGAGGCTAAATGTGAACAAAAAGAAGCCACACTCCACTTGACCACATTACATTTCAAAACCTGGAGTTCACCGCGCTGTGTCTTTAGATTCTGACGTCCTTCTTTGGAATGAGTCGGCAGAGTGTGGGCAGAAATATTTAATCAACACTCCTCTCTCATACCATTAGTTTTAATACCAAAGGCGATGGAGTTCAAAAGAAGCCCGCCTGACATAAGCGAATAAGTGAGTGACCCTGACTTTCACAAGCAGCGCTAAAGGCTGATGTGATGACCGTGAACGTGTGCTGTTTGTCATTTTTTCTGTGACTTTCAGAAAAGAATCTGAGTGCTGATGCTTTTCAGACACCCACTCATCAGATTATGTCATTAAACTGTTTACCTGCAGACTCTAATCTTTCTTTGTCACTGCTTTTACCGTCTCTGTCAGCATCTCTGTTGCCTCCTCACTTTTCTTTCACTCCCTCATGTAACCACGTCAAGCCCTGCTGCTTCTTCTGTTGTTTTAACTACACAATTGCCTCCCTTTCCATGCACCTCCTACATTCCTGTTGTTCTTTGTTTTTCTTCTCTACATCTCTAACTTTGATCTTTTTACTCCCCCTTTCTTGTCCTTCCATCGCCGCTGCAGTGGGAGGAGATAAGTGGAGTAGATGAGAAGTACAAGCCCATCAGGACGTACCAGGTGTGCAACGTCATGGAGCCGATGCAGCAGAACAACTGGCTGCAGACGGGCTGGGTGGCGCGGCGGGGCGGCCAGCGCATTTTTGTGGAGCTCCAGTTCACGCTGCGCGACTGCAACAGCATACCCGGCGTGGCGGGCACCTGCAAGGAGACCTTCAACCTCCTCTACGTGGAGACGGACAGGGACCTGGGAGGCGTGACCCGAGAAGACCGCTACACTAAGATAGACACTATAGCCGCCGACGAGAGCTTCACGCAGGGCGACCTGGGCGAGAGGAAGATGAAGCTGAACACCGAGGTGCGCGAGATAGGCCACCTCAACCGCAAGGGCTTCCACCTGGCGTTCCAGGACGTCGGCGCGTGCGTGCACTCGTTGCCGTGCGAGTGTACTACAAACGCTGCCTAGCAACCGTTCAAAACCTGGCGGTGTTCCCCGACACGGTGGCCGAGGCGGCCTTCGCCACGCTGGTGGAGGTGCGGGGCAACTGCGTCAACAACTCTGAGGTCGACACAGACAGTCCGCCCAGGATGCATTGCAGCGCCGAAGGGGAGTGGCTGGTGCCCATTGGGAAGTGCAGCTGCAGCGCCGGCTACGAGGAAGGACACAGCAGCTGTGAAGGTAGGAGATTAACATCCAGACTGTGAGATGCACGGTTAGATGAAACAAAAAAAGGTGAACAAGAAGAGACCAGAGGAAAAAACTGTGTAAAGAAAATGAGAACTGAAGAAGCAAATGAAAGAAGAGGGAATAGAAATGTTTGTAAAGAAGATGTGAAGGATGAAGATGTAGGGAGCGGAGTCGGTTTTACCACTTCAAAAACTGTTTTTTTTTGTCTTTAGGTCTTTGCCAGAAGGAACTGAGATTAAATATTTTTTTCAAGTATGAGCAAAAAAGCAAAGTGTAAAAAATATCTTTCTTTTAAGTAGCTTTAGTATTTTTGAAGCACAGTATGATCGTTTCTTCTTCTTCAGTATCCAGCAGATGCAACTGGTTTTTCATATATTTGAGCCCCTGGTCCACTTATCTTATATTGTCCTTCCCCTGGTATTCTTTAATCCTTATACCCCAAACACCCTATGAATCCATTTGAATGCCCCTGGTACCCTACTCTTTAATTACTTCTCCTCTGGTACCCTATCTTTAAATGTACTTCCTCTGCTACCCTGTCTAAAGGCCGTCTGTAGCTCAGTCTATTTGTACTCGGGTTGGGAACCAAGGGGTCACCCGTCCAAGTACTGCAGAGGTGTCGACCCCTACATGGACGCCTTCTGTGCAGCCCCTCACTCTGACATCTCTCCTTTAGAGCATGTCCATAAGATCCTGTTTGTGCATGTGTGTGTATTACTGAACTATGTGTGTGTGCAGTACGAGCAAACTAACCACAAGGCAACTGGTGCCCCTTTTTTTTGTAATTTTTTTTACCCCTTGTAACCTTTACGAAATTACTGAGCTCTTGTTACCCTCTTCTCAAATCTTCACGCCCCTTATACCCCATTTAGCTCAAGTTGTACCCTTTCATTTACATTTCCCTTAGACCAAGTTATGTGTCCCTGATACTCCTTCATCAAATATTATTCCCCCTGATACCAATTTTTTTTAGATTTAAATGACCTTTGTGATCCTATTTTGTAAGACTGTTCTATATGCATGTGTCACTAAATGAAGTCCTTCACCGATTGCTCCATGTGGTCGAACTACGAGCAAAAAAACAAAACAAGAGAAAGATGAAGATGGATCGAAATTGGACATGAGAAGAACGGCTCTCCGTGTTTGAGAGAATGAAGTGAAGATTAAAGGAAGAGAAGTGCAAAGAGAGAAAGGACAGTTTGAATTCTGTGGCGCTGTGAAGATACAATAGAGACTGTGAGAGTGAGGGGGGGGAATAGTAGAAATCACTGCATGTGAGCATGGAAGAAGAGAGGAAATCAAACAGAAAGCAGCGTTAACAAGTGCTCAGACAAAAGAAAAGGAAAGGAAATGGAGGTTATTTTTCACAGGAAGACAAAAGAGGAACAGAAAACCGTTGTCTCACACTGCTTCAATCCTTGGTGCTTTTTTGTTTTCACACTGACAATGACATCAATGCTCTATCAGTGATCTTACCTTCATACCTTCATGAGACCTCCAAAGGCTGCTGTCACACATATCGACATTTGAGGCGTGTTGTGTGAACTGTACGGCTTAGCCATCTCTGCATGCGTGTGTGAGTGTGAACACGATGACTAATGCATTCCTTCTTCAGATGCCACTGCCCTGTCATGTATAACACCTCGGCCTCTCCTCTAACATTTACATGCAGCCCTGACCGGCCTGCACACGCAGACGCACACATACACACAACCACGGGTGGTGTGAGTGTAAAGCGGGTGGGTGGCGTTGGGGTGTCACACTCTGACGTAAACAGAAAGGGACACTATTGGAATCTTTTGTCACATCCCCATTGCTCATACAGCAGCAGCACTTTGATCACATGGCGGTTGCCGTTAGCTTTCACAGCCCATCTTGCATTGTTGTGCAATGCAGCGTGGGTGTTGTAGTCATCGGTTAGCTAAACCAAGTGTAATGAAGTCCTAATCTCCTCGAAGGAGGTTGATATTGTTTTGGTTGATTGACGGAATCGATTGCTATTATTACAATTTCTTAGTTGTTTTTTTTCCCTAATGAGCGTTTCAAAAGATGATCTTGTGATTGGTCAGTAAATCTGTCACCTTTTGGCTACTATAATAAATGTGGTAGTATGCTCCTCCCATATATACTACTATGTTGAAATAGATAATAATGCAAATGCTTAGGACCACACAAGAAACAGTGTTAGTTAATAAAGAAAAAAAACACACAGGCCAGGAATATTTAAAAAATACAAAGACACTTTCAGATTAGAGAACAACCTGTTGGTTTCCTGGATCAGGGTCAGCCACAAAGCCCTCTCTAACAGGACAGCACTGGCCCCTGAAAAGACACTGCAGACATTGTATGGTTCTGCTGGTTTGAATACAGATTACTTTAAAATGTGCTGTTCTGTCCCAGGGTGATCCAGGTATACCTCCTACAACCCGACTTCAACAATGCCAAACTATCCGTTTAATCACTTCATCTGACATCTGTCCTCCAGCAGAGGTTTTAGGCATTGTTAATAACTATATAGATATAACCAATCTTCTGGTTTGCTTTTATAGATCATAAAGAGGCGTCCGTATTAATTTCAGTCTGTTTCACAACCAGCCAAAAATCGCCTCCTCCATTTGTAAAAGAACAGAGCAACAGAAGCTAACTAATAGAGAACAATAAAAAGATCTTTTATAGTATCACCTGGAGGAGGATCCTACAAACATGTCTTGTTCCTTTATGCTGATTCTCCATTTTTTCCTCCCATTGGGCTTGTTCGAGGAACCAACAAAAAATCTAAGAGGGGATGGAAAGTGTAAAAGTATTAAAGTTGACAGAAGAAACTCTGCTGATCGTAAGTCGTGCAGAACTTTTGGCTGTGCTGCACAATCTCTGCGCTAAGTGTTTGACAGTTGGAGATAAGTACTGCTCACTGAAATTGGCAGTCGGTCCGTGCGTAAACAAAGTATGTGTTGCTTGACCTGTTTTTTTGTAATTACCCACAATGCTTTTTCAACAATAAAAAGCCGAGCTGAGGACAATAAAATCTGACGAACAGATGAACCAACAGACACTGGGCGCTGAGTAGGGACGGGTTCTGAGGAAGAAGTGCAAAACGATGGTAAGGAGAGAAAATTAAGGGATTCCTGACAAAGACGGGTCGGTTAAAAACTTTTGAAGGAGTGAGCAGAAGGTGGAAAAGAAACATTTTTTACTTACTTACTTTGGTACAGTGAAACGAGTTAGACTTTGGTCCCCTAGAGGACAGGGCCCCTCGTTCCTCTTCTTATTCACACACACACACACACACACACACACACACACACACATTTGATCCTGTAGTGCCTCATTTCTCAGTTCAGCCATTATGGCATGAATATGCAGCCCAAACCCCGACATCTCCCACTGCACCAGAGCTATTGATCAGCTGTAATGCTCCACTAAACTGAAGAATTGCGCTGGGACCGCTCATACACACATCTAGCAGTCAAGACACACACATTCAACAGCAGGCAGACACACACACACACACACACAGACACACACGCTTATATTAATGCCATTTCATGTGGGCCGGAAAGCGTCTCTGTGTGTGCCTGATAGAAATGCATTATGCCAGAACAGCAGTGTGTGTGTGTGTGTGTGTGTGTGTGTGTGTGCAGTACTCTCCGCTGTGAAACGTATCATAATGAATTCCAAGCAGGCAGCCACAGCTTATCATAAACATAATGTTCAGCTAATTTCTGCAAGTGTGTGTTTGTTTGTTTGTTTGTTTGTGTGCAAGTTCCACAGCTACGTCTTATTTCTCCTGGGTCTATTTGTGCAAACAGCGTGAGTGCAAATGCACTAAGTGTCTCCGTGCAGGTCAATAATATTGAATAGCCAGTGAGTAGCTACTGATAGTGGTGTAAGCAGATAGTGTTGGGCAGTAGAGGAGAGGATTATTAGCACACACAATGTGACAGTAACGACACACACAGCACTGGATTAACTCAGATTAAAGCATCTGTTGTCATAAAGTCCTTCTCTAAACTTGTCTGCTGCTTTAATGCTGATGCAGACACTATTATTAAAGTGCTGACGGATAAAGATGCAGTAAATTGATTTTTAATGTGTTGAGGGACTACGTTAGCTTTGACTAATTTACCTGAAACTCTCAGGTTGTACATTTGAGAGGGTGTTTGTTGTTTTTCATAATTACACAATCTTAATGATTTATTATATATGTTTTATTCTTTACGCTGGAATTAAAAAATAAAATAAAAATTTAACCATGGAACGATTTCATTATGAGGCAGCTTTCTTCTTCGCATCAAATTTGGGGGGGGAAAGAAAGTCAAACGAAGATAGCTTAGCTCAGCACAACAACTGGAAACAAGGTGTCACTGCTAGGCTTAGCATGCAGATAGAAAGAAGGGTGAAAGTGTTAGAATACCTTATGACAAAGAAAGGAAGCAGGGTGGAAATCTTTAGCCGATAGCTTAGCAGGGACTGGAAGTAGAAAGAAATCGTTGTGCTAGCTTAGCACAAACACGGAAGCGGAAAGAAATGTTGATTTACTCAACGCAGAGATTGTAAACGGGGAGAAAACATCGTACTAGCTTAGCATAGAGATACAGAGAATCTTTTTAGCTTCGCTTAGCACTGAGATAGGAAAAAGAAGGGCTAGTAGTCAAAAATAGCAAACAGGAAAGAAATTGTTTTACTAATTCTGCAAATGTATAGCAAATAGGGAGAATATTTTAGCCTAGCTAAGCATAGACATATAAAGCATGGGGAAACTTTTAGCGTAGCTTAGCACGAAGATGGTAGTAAGAAAATTGATAAACAAGCTTAGATTAAAGTCAGGAAGCAAGAAGAAGCTGTTAGCCTAGCTCAGCAAATCTTGACCACATTTCAAAATAAGATTTTATATTAAAAGAAGAGTGGGGACTTTTTTCCACACACAATTTAAAATTAGGCTAATTACCCATAATTCCCTGTGCTTTCTCGGATGCTTCTCTTATACCAAA